AAATACTGTATGCCAGGAGCTTGAACACCACAGTAAATAAACATTAAATAAATACCACTTACAAAAACAAATGTTTGTATTTAGCATGTTAAATGGATTCCATCTAAGGAAGTTTACAAAAAATGCTGCTAAGTCATGCATTAGGTTCTCCTTCCCATGAAGGGAATGACACAGTGCTCATCTCATGTGCCACTCTATTGTCTTAACATAGCCAAGACATTTAATGTGGTCAATGCCAAGATAAATCAGGACTCCTCAAAAGGTAGCTTGTTTTTCTATAGGCATGGAAGAGAAGAAACGTTTTCTAATGTCAAACCATAAATAATCATTTATTGCCATTTACCTTTCTCTTAGATATTGCACTTAAAGTGTGAAGTAGTTCCTTCCCACAAGAAACCATGGATTTTTGAGTAAAGGTGAGATCACAACTTAAAGCAAAAAATGGGGAAAATCTGTAAAGACACTTACTGGGAAATAGAAACATTATAACAAGAATCACTACTTCTAATGTATAGACGAATGACTTAAAACTAGTGTTTTCCCCATTTCTGGTTGTTTCAGGAAGCTCTAGTTCATGTTGTATCAGAAGCAGGTCCCTGGTGCACAGGAAGTTCAGGATACTGGCCAAGAATTGTAATACACAGGTATTAGACTGCCTTCAAAAACAACTAAAACCCACTGAGGGAAAGCACTGTTATACTGATTTGAGGCTTTTGTTATGCTGAATGGGAGTTAACAGGCCAAAACATAATTATGTATATTGTGCCTTCATGTTGGAGAAATTAAGTTACCTGAAAGCTGAAACCCATTTTTATGTGGTTTGCAACCTCTGTAACATTCTGTCAAACAAAGGACTTTATAGGAAGAGGAAGCATTAACTGAGGCTATTTTGTGTCTGGTGTCCAGGCTGATCCCAGTAGCAGTGTTTGCTAGGGTCATTTAAGAAGCAGGATGAGCTAAACCTGAGGAAAGCTGGTCTGTGAAGGACTTGCCTAGTGTGGCCATTGGCCTACAGTGCTTACGGCACTACACACACAGAGTATACATACATACATAGTATTTCCAAAGTGTAAAACTTAGTGAAAACTAGACTGCTAAATTCTATTTATGGAACTAAGGGTGGTTATGGCTGCTGTTTTTGATGGCTCTTGAAGGACTTCACATTCAGAAGCAGTATAGAGGACTGATGTTTTCAGGCTGCATTTGTGGCTTACATGATATCTGAACAGGAAAATGGCAAATTGTGGGACTGGTGAAATTTATCAACTACTTAAACATCAAGCTATGATTGGCCTGGTTAAAGTTTGCTGAACATGTCACAAGAAACCAAGTAGTTTTTGGGTTCCTTAGTTAACTCAACAACAACTCATGGCAAACCAACACACGTACATATACCACTTTTCAGAATGGCTTGCCATTGTCAGGAATAATGCCTTTTCTCTTTCTTATGTGCCTTACTTTTAAATTATATCCTATCTGTGCAGCTGTGTGCAGTGTATGTATTATACTGCAAATGGGATTATCTCAGTTGTCTCTGTGTGAATGAACATCTCAATATGGATGCAGTCAGACATGCATGGGCAATTTCTGATCCAACATAAAAGCACTGGGTGGATCCAGAATGGTGTGGAACAAACACTGGATGCTCTCAGGAGTGGGAGTATCACTAATGCTCACTAATTTTCACACTCTGCAGCAGCTGCCCATGCCTCAGAAATTATGTTCCATGGGGCTGGGGGACCCTCAGTATCGGTAGGGGAGGTAACTTTGAGGGCTTCAGGAGGGAAGATGGATCGAAACATTCACACAAACCCTCTCTCCATCCCCAGGAGTGTCTACCTCATGCAGTGAAACCATCTGATCTCCAAATGGAAGGAGCCTTTGTGTTCATGTCTAGATTCAATCCCATGTCTGGAAACCTTTCTTGCGGAACTGAAATTCCTTAGAGAGAAAGAAATCTACACATTCTAGAAATAAGTAAAGTTCAAGGTAGTAAAAATGTCACACAGGATGGGATAACCTGATCTCTTCTTGAAAAACATGCTTTAGTAATAGGTCAAGAAAAGAAAATCTCTGACTATTAAATTGAGCCATTAACTGTGTACAGGATTTTAAGTATCTGATCATATTTGCTTGTTGCTCCCTTGTACTGTGACTTCTATTCTTCTTTATATAGATTTTGTCATATTGTTTGGTTGGAACACAGTATATCACAGACCTTTATTATCACTGCAGGGAGTTGATTTTCTTCGTACATTAGCAGGTGCAGAAATGAGAGAGCAGTCGCATAATGCCATGTAGAGAGGCCTTTGGAATCTACTTAATTAACATAAGGCAACCAGCTATGGCAAGATGGCTAAACATTAAGATCAGTGGCATTGGTACAGAGTTCAAATTGTGCATAAGACTCAGCAATAATATTTGTCCAGTTGCATAAATAGATTGATCGATTCTGTTAAACTCTTAAAGATATGACTTTTTGTATTAAATGTATAACTTACTTTTCTACAATAAGGTGGTTAAAAACACTGGACAACATCTGCCATTGTCTGAGCAGATGCCCATTCATGCAGTGTAGTTTCCTCTTTCTCCTGCTACCACCTCTCCTCCAAATCTGTTCCAGACTCCAGCCTCTGTAGTAGATTTAGAGGATATGCAGGGGGCTTGGGTGGGTGGGAATCCATCCATCAGTTCTGTCATTCCACAGACTGACAAACAGAGTTACAGTAGTATTTCCAGACCATCCTTTTCACAAGGTTCACTTACTGGTCTCACCTTTGCCAAGTACAGTTTTGCCGAAATGAATGGGGATGGTATGGGGTGATCACTTCTGCAAGATGTTTCCTCATCCAGCTGGAAAAGTATGTGAAAGGCTGTTTTTTATTCATACATATAAGTCTTAAGGTACCACAGCAAAAACAATAAACTGGAAGGTTCCACCTGTGAAAGTTAGGATTTTTAAATGGTATGGGAAAAGCCAGTTCTGTAATCTTGTTTTGCTATTGTAAAGTCCCAGTCCTAAAGCATGATTAAGCTGTAACATTCTGAAAGTGAGGCTGCTACTTTCATACAAGGCTTAAATGCTACCATGTTCTAGAGTAAGAATGCTGAGACCCCAGACTTTTATATTGGCACAACTGAAATCAAAATTTCATTGAATGATTTGCCCTTCCAAACAATGTGTCTAACCAAGTATATAATTTCACTATTTTATAGCACAATGTATCTCAAGAAAGGGAGAAAAAGTGTTTATAGGCAATCATTTAACCGTGCATACTGAAATGCTACAAAAGCTGTTGGAGTTTTACTCACCTGTCAAAAAAAGGTAAAACACTTTCTTTGCAGTTTATCATTTCATAATTGTAACTTTTAAGAAATGGGAATAAAGTAATATTCAACATAAATCTTAACTAAGTATTCAAAACTTCATTCTTCTTGTTGGGTGCACAGTAATATCAAACTAACAATGCAATATCATGCACATCTACTCAGAAGTAAGTCAGTACAGCTTACTCCTAGGTAAGTTTGCATAGAATTGCAGTCTAAGACAAGTTACAGACGAATACATGAAAACGCTTCTAAGAACAAGGACAGTAACACAAACTTAGTGGAAGAAGGTAAACCTTTTTGGAACAATTATTGACTAGACACAAGGCTCCTATAAATCCATAGTGATCTTGGAATTTGCTCCCATGGGAATAGAAAAATCCTTGCCATTGCAGCAGTGCACAAGGTCAAGGAAACTAGCCTGCATTTACTTGGGAATATTGATTACAGAAGCATGCTATAAACCTTAGCATCACCTTGACATATATGTTAGCATCGTATTTTAAAGGATATTTCTCATTCCAATTTATGTGCATTTCCCAAAAGGTTTAACTATCCAAAGAGACAGAAAAAGACTCTTAAATAATATATTTTTTAAGTCTGACAAACACATCCAGATATTTTTTGGTTTAGGGCTGTCCCTTTAGAGTTTCCGGCTGCTATCTTACTTTCAATTCACATTTCCCCTCTTTTATTATCCCAGTCCATCCCTACCAAAGGCATTTAAAACCATGGTACATATCTGTTTTAATTCTCTTGGACATTTTGCTATCTAAATTGGCTATCTAAATTAATGACACAGGGAAGTAGAAAACAGACATTCGTGCTGACTTCAAACTGCACATTCTTGCAGGCAGTCTCTACAGTATTTTCCAGGTTTACAAAATAAAGATGTGCTCAGTAAGAAGATGTCTTGCGCTACTTTTGAACACAGCAGAAGCAAACAATCAGCTGCTATCTGGGTTCTCCATGCACAACCTACATTTTGAAGTGATAAATTAAGTAACTTAGGTTTAAAATTCAAAACGGTCAAAAACAACTGAAGCAATATATGTTTGTTATTACTTTCTAGGCTGACATATCACAGTGGAGATGCAATTGTGTTAGTCATGGCACTCTGCATGATGCCAAAGCTGTGCTGAGCAGCATGCTGTTAGGAAAGGGTATACCAGCATGCTGCAGCATTGGCTCGGCCCTCCCATGCTGTGTCAGTCTATAGGCAAACACCATGACCACCGTCACAGCGCAACACATGAAAATGCTGGGGAGCTATTTCTGTAGCAACAGGAGGGCAGTTCTCCCTCAACCTGACCCCTGCTCTTGATGGGTATTGTGGAGATGAGTTCTGCATGGAATATTTAATAAGCAGGTCACATCAGATCAGGAAGTGGGGCGGGGGGAGAGGCATTGCTTGAAATACATTTTTAGTTAAAGCTAGTTTTAAAACCTGAGAGAGAATAAACAATGCATCACTTTGTGGAAAAGTTGTTCACAAGCCTTAACGTGGTGCTGACTTAAACTTCCTTGCTTTGAATTTCAACGGCAAACCTGAAACCTGGGACCCATGAGCCCCTGAAGGGACAACCCTTTGCCATACACAATAGTAACTATGTTTCTACAAGTTATGAAAAGAAAGCAATATGTGCCTGTTTCGGTGGCTGTCGTTTGCCTACCAATGGTGCAGTGCTCCCCATTCCAGCCCTCTCGGCATTCACATTTCCCATCTTTACAAGTGCCGTGCTCTGTGCAACGGGGATGGCAGACACGTTGGTCACAGGCCACTCCTGTCCAGCCCTCCTCGCAGCGACATGCTCCGCCAATGCAGACACCATGAGTGCCACAGTCTACGGAACACACTTCTGGAAAAAAAGGGAAAGTTGGTTAATGCCAGCACCGTTGTGGACACCAGCACAATGGAGATGGATTTAGGGTTTGTACTACCAAAGCAATATATGCTGGAGGAAACGGAGATGTGAAGTATGTTTTTATGCCCTACTTATTAAACAGTGTGAGGACTGTGCTATACATACCATTTCTGTTGAGGACGCCAACAAGGAAGAACAGTTGTAAAACAGACATCTGTGTAAACAGTCTTAACTCCAAGATTCACCACAATTAACATCTAGGGAAGGGTACAGCTTTGCCCCACCAGCATGTACTCTTCCCTGGCGGAACCTCTAAGAACAAATTTCTTTATCATTGTTATAAACTAGTATCCTACAAAGGGCAATCTCTGAAAATCAAACATGCTGGCAGAGCTAGTCATCTGCATTTTGGCCCTGCTTGTCATTGATGTTTCCAAGCTCTTCAGAAAGCTTTTGGAAATAGTGCGTGTTTGCATGTGTGCATGCGCTTTCATCAACGCATGTGTTGGGGTATCGGAGTGGACATGGAAGAGAGAAACTGTACAGTAGTTACCCAGGATCATATGGGCACCTGGAAGTGGAAGAACAGTCAGGCTTTTTCCTTAAAAGGTAATCTGAGAATGATAGATCAATAAACACTCAAAATTATTCTAATTTAGGATCAATTTAAACAGATATGTGCTGTTTAGTACACTTGTCTTTGACATGTGAGACCACTGAGAGAAGCAGTTGAGTCTAAGAATGTGGAACCAGCATCAGAATCAAAATGAGAACCTGAACACAAGATTTTAGTTGTTGGCACTAATGATGTGAACAAATTAAGTACTGTTCCTATAAATTAAACATTTTCCTTACCCACAGAGCAGTCAGGACCCATCCAGTTGGGATCACAATTACAGAGGCCTGTGTCAGAAAGGTATGTGCCATGCCCACTACACTGGTCTGGACACTGAGCACGTGGAAGTTCACAATTTAAGCCTCCCCAGCCTGGGCTGCAAAGGCACTCTCCATTTACACAGACACCATGGTTGGAGCAGGAGGGATCCAAGCAATCAACTAGAGAGAGAGCGAGATTGAGATTGAGATTGAGATTGAGAGAGAGAGAGAGAAGGAAGGAAAACAAAACAAACACTGTGTGAAAAAGGTCAGTGCACAGAATGCACAGTCTGAATTGACACCACTTGATGGATCTGTGCTCAGCAGGTTTTTTCTTGCTGCAGTGAACTAGAGCAAACCCGTGCAGTTGTTTGCTGGGCTATCTTTTCTTGGAGTCTGAAAATATAAAAAGGTCACTCTGCTTGCTTTTGAGGAAACTCCAAAAAGCTCAGTCTGGTCTGAAAAGGGGGAGAGGGGTATAATCAAAACAAAGTGACAGGACAGGCTGGCTTGAGAACCAATATTTCAAACATTGAGATACTGAAACGCTTTTATTTAAATCTAATTCTGCCTTTCACCCCTTCCAAATGGCACAAACATATACCCAGCAACATATGCACAGAGATTTCTTTAAGTGGGAATGGATCTTTTTGCATCTGACTGTAGAAGGTTCCTGGATAACTGCATCATTAATTAACAAAAACTTGCCCTTGTGAAAAGAGCAGAGGCAATAATTTCCTTCTCTCTCGCTTGCCTGACTGAAGCTGTCAATCTGGGTGGTTATACCTCCACAAAAGCAGAGTTAGTAACCCAAGAGAATTGTTCACCTTTATGGAAATATCACTCTTGCCTATGTCAGCTCTGCAAATGATTCCAGTGCACCATGCATTGCTATTCTTTATGCATAAGGGGAGTGGTGAGGAATTGTGTTTGGATCAGTGTTAGCGAGTACTCCACAGAATGTGATCTCCTAGAAAGCAAAGCATTACACCACGTTGTGCTAAGCAGGAGCACAAAATGTGTACAGAATGAGCTTGTTGTGACAGCTGTCAAAACTGTAAATGCATGGATATCTGAAAGGGTGGATTCCTCTGTTGCAGCAGCTATTGTACATGTGATAGAACTGGTGTGTTCCCGTTGTTTTCTTGTGTCCCCTGCTGCTCTCCATTGAGCAGTTCTGTTTTCATAAATTTCAAATCACCACAGACCTCTTCTACATTGATGACACAGCATAAGCAGCTATAAAGCACCTCCCCTTTCTCTTTGCTTTTTTTTAATTCCCTGCGTACAGGTACACTGTTTGGCTGCAAAACAGAGGATGTAACAGAAGAAAAAATATTGGAAGGATAGCAAAGAAAGGAATGAAGTGCATTTTCAGTTGAAATGGGAACGCTCCATTCCACATTCAGTTCCTTGAACCTTTTTTTGCTGGTTTACATATTCATTTAAACATCTAAAACTGATTGGCAATTCCATATTAGTAATGAACATGATTTCTTACCCATCCCTAGAAATCCTTCAAAATTAAGAGATAAGCTAATTTCTACGAACCTAGCACTGTTGGAAATACCTGGCTTTTCATCCTTCATTTTTTTAAATATAAGCTTAATGTGATCTATCAAATCACTGTGACACGAATACTATGTATGGTTGCAACTTGACTAGAACATTAATGAATGAATCCACTAGAATCTTAGTCGTAGAAGTTGCCTCAGGCGTCTAAACCAGGCCACTAAACGGTAAGTGGGAATTTTCACAACAAATGTCCCAAACACATTTTAGTATAGGCTGTGACATTTGTGAAAACTGTTAAAGCAGGAAATGTTTATTGGATGTTTGCAACCTAACCAATGTAGCCTCTATATTCAAAGTTCAGGTGTAGAAAATACATCAATTCACTTAAGCAGTTGTGAAAATGCCTTTAGGCCGTAAGTCAGAGAGGTTGCATAACATGTAGCCTGCATTTCAAGATTCACCTAACAAGCTGCCTTCAGATAACAGCCAAACCACTTCTTAAACTCCTTTCAATTCAAGTTACAGTGTGGGGATTTGACTTATTCTGCAGACTATACTGACTGTGCTTTCACCACCACCATAAAAGTATAATGTCCTTCAGATGTTCAAAATAAATGAATGCAGACGGTCAAATTCCATCTTCAACACTGAGCTAGAGCAAGTTGTTGCTAGTTGCGAAGTTGTGTTCGACCCATCGTGACCCCATGGACATCAGCATATACTGTTGCTCCTTCTCCCTATTGACCTTGTCTAAGCTTATGCAGGAGACAGCAAACCTGCATGCTGAAGAGGTGGAGCACTTCCAGAGGCCTTTTGTCAGTGGGGCCCTGCTGGGGTACTGCCTTTTATCAGGTTCCAATTCATGGCTAACCTTAACACCTGCACTGTTGTTATCCAGTTCCCTCTCTTTCAGCACCACCATCACAGAGTTCATTCCTTCTCAAATTCCATTACTGACAAGAAGGAATTGTTTGTGAACATCATAGCAGCAGTGTTTCCTTTCCGTACTGACTGGGCAACTTTACTGGGAAAACCAACTACATGATGGTTGGGGTTGCTTTTTCTGTCCTGACTCTCTTCTCTACTTGGTTCTCTACCTTCTCCTCCTCCTCCTTACTACTTCAGAGTCCAGAGGCCTTGGCAAAGCCAGGATGTCTCCAACACCTGCTCTCAGGGGAAAAAAAAGATATTTTGTGGAAGAATTTTATAGCTGAAGATTACAGGATGATAGAATGAATATTCCTCACAGATACTATGTTTTTCAATTGCTCTCTCAATACATGGCACCTAGAGGTATATAGTATACCTTAGGATGACTTATTCCTGATGGAAATGAATAAGAAGAGTGCCATCTAATCCTGAAGACCACAGCCTTGAACAGCAGTGCTGGACTCTCTCGGCAAGGGTAGACATGCTGGCTTTACCACATTGCCAGCCCTTTCTCCCACCAGGCTTAGCCTCTCCACTAGCCCCCTGGTCATCCTGTCAGCCTTTTCCCCCTGGCTGATGCTGGGGCTGGGTGGGTTGAAGCTCTGCTGAGAGTAGCTTCAGGGCCCCAGTCCTGCAAAGAGGCCTGCCTGCAAGACTACCTTGGACTCGATGGGCAACTCCCTACACCTGGCCTGAGCTGCAGCAGGTCTATTTCTGCTGTCCCAAAGTGAGTGGTGATGACCCTGAAGGAGAGGATCCCAAAGGGACAGAGATAGTCTGCTACCAGTGATCTATGCTCTGAAAGTCTCTAAATTAGATTACTGCAATGCATTTTCAGTGGGGTTGCCCCTGGAGACTGTTCAGAAGCTACATATTGTGCAAAATGCAGCAGCCACTCTAATAACAGGGAGCAGGCAAATTGATCACATAACACCAGCTCTGGTCCACATGTACTGGCTGCCTATATCCTTCTGAGCCCACTTTTATAGGTGCTGGGTTTTTTAACCTATAAAGCCCTACACAGGGGACCATGCCAGAATGCCTCTCCTGACCATCTTCTATCTGCTTTTATATTTTGTATTGCAAATTTCCATGCTGTTTTAATATATTTTATACAATGTAGCTTTTATTCAGTTTTTAATGTGCTTTGTGAACCAGCCAGAGCTTCAGCTGTTGGGCAGTTCAGAAATTAAATAAAGAAATAATCCATATGACAACATGACTCCTGGATTGCCATTATAAAGAGCAGATGAATATCTCTCCAAACAACCCCAATAACAGCATAGGAAGCAGTTAGAAAGATTAAGATTTAACTCAACCTTAACATAGCATACAAAAACTGTTCATCTTCAATTCAAAGGTATATCAGTTTCAAGGTAGTCTAAATTGAGTGTTTCATAGTAAAATCATTACCAGTGCAATCCTATGTACATCTACTCAAAGGTAAACTACACTGAGCTTAATAGGACTTACTCTTATATAAAAGTATATAGCATTGCAGTTGAAGACTTGCCCATAATCTTTTAGATTACCTGAGGTGATATCCTGAGAAACTCAACTGAAATACAGAATGCTGACTTAGTACTACTTATTTACCCAATATTCCAGCTGTTTGGAAAAGAAAAAAATGAGGCCACAGTCCATAAAATGGCACAGGTGATCTCCTTTGAATTGAAGTCAACATAGTAATATCAGTTTAAATACAAGTTGTCTGCCTCATTAGGCTTATAGATCTCATCACAGGTTTTTGTGATTTTTTTTGTTTTGTTTTTGGTGAAATTAGAGTGACCATCCTTGTTGGTTACTATCAATCATCCCATTTTTCAAACTCATTTTATCATTTCTTTTAGCTAAACCTATTAGATAAATAAAGCAAACTGATCTATAATTTCTCACTTTCATTTCTTTCCTGCTTCCTTTCACCTGACTTCCAGGAACCCTCAAAGATAATTGCTAATGGCTTTGCAATTTCTTCAGCTAATCCCCTCAGCACCCAAAAGTATACTTCATCAGAGCATGTTGATTTAAATTTATTAAAATGTGATCTATTCATTTCCTTCCCTGACCTGTATTTCTTCCTTTCCTTGGTTATCTTCATCATCTTATACATTTATCTCTTCCAGTGAAAACTAAAGCAGAACAGACACTGGGAAATTGTGATTTTTAAATCACAATTGTTTCATTAGTTCACATTTTACACACAGATGATAAAACTAATGATTTGTTTTCTTTTAACTTGCATGTGAATTTCTCCACTAGTTTGCTTGGTGCCTTTGCTGGTATGATATTCCTTTACATGCTTTTTGAGGAACACCTGATTTTGCCATGATTGAAAGACTTACAGGGTAAATTCATCCAATTTACCAAGGACCAAGTGTCTGTAGTTTGGGTGTGCTCCTGGAGTCAGCATTAACTGGGGAAGTTCAAGTGGTGGCAATAGTCAAGACTACCAGATTTGGCTGGTATGGCAATTGTGATCCAGCACTTGTCCAAAGGGATCCTACTGCCACTGGACTTCAGCTGTAAAGTACTGATGAAGAAACCCTTTCCTTTGGTTGCAAATGTATAGGCTATGTAGCTGAAAGGTCTGAAGGACTGTGATAAAGGAAGGATAGGAAGGGGATGTGCTGCAATCATGAGTTTCAGGACATCTGCCTTAAACCAATTTTATCTGCTCTGAAGAAGGTGGAATTCGGTTGGGTTTGTATTGCTCATGTATGATTTAAAATGTATAT